AGAGAGAGAGAGAAACGTCTAGGTTCACACTGGTCCGCATAATTCACAAAATTCACGTTAATCGGCGACGTCATGTCCGATTCCAGCAGTTTCAACGGCTCGCTACGTTGATCCAGGTAATCCCAGCCGTGAGAGGGAAAAAGAGATAGAGAGAGAGAACGAGCGTCATCTCCTTACGTTAATATTATCAGCAGGCACAGAATCCGCTTTATCTCATTACAAAATTAGCGACCGTGACGTTAACGTGAACTCTGAGTACGGATCAGCGGAGGGACGATCAACTATATGGGACGTGTATGCGCGGTGCGGCGAAGGTGACGTCACAATCGACACGATTGAGAATTCGGCAAATTTTTTGATATTACTTAATACCGTTAAACATTCTTTGCTGCTATGGCTTCAAGGTAATAAATAAATGAATAATGCGTGTGTAGAAGTAAGTAGCAGATTATGGAAAAAATTTTTCGACGCGATTATGATTAGATATCATAGTACAGTATCATACAATAAAGTACAGTTTATATTCGTATTGTTTTCCCTTAAAAATTGGATATTTTTTACCCGTATATTTCCTCGACAACAGGGCTTTTTATGTCGATTGCACCGTCGATTTCGGAGCACTTCTATACGTGACACTTGCGTGCTGCAAGCGTAACGTAAAATCCCAGAGAAAGGGGAGAATATTGTACATCATGCGACCAGCGTTCGTTCCGTTCCCGTACAATTGTAACGATCGTAGCAGGTCCGTTATCTACATTATAATACGTTCTGAGATAAGCAATTGAAAGTGGCGAACATTCTTTATACACGTGGACACGCGAAGAAGGATGTTTTTATCGTACATATAGCCAAATAAATAGCTGTACACGTAACTGCATATTGTACGGACCGTGTTCGGCGAATTCGCGAAACCAAAGTATGTACAGCGTGTTTGTGTAGCACGGAACTCGCGACGTAGAATTGCAAGCTATGAAGAAACATCGTGGACGTAAAACTCGTCTCTTTACTTCGTCAGACGTCCCGTCGATCTCGCGGGATCAACGGACGAAGCGATTATTTCGCGCGTCTCTACTGACGTCAAGAATGAAATTTGCAGCGAAAGTAGCTTGCACCTAACGAAATCTTGATCCGGAGAAAAAAACCATGTTTCCTCAATTTCATTCTATTCGGTCTGATGTTATGCTGAAAGAAATCTTTGTCGTCTTACGTAGCACCGCTTGCGCACGGAGAAAAGCGCAGCGAGGTAAAATGTGACGGCGGGTAATGCGCTCTTTCCGTCATAAAATCCATCGCGACGAGGAACGAGCGTAAATAAAGTTCGCGTTTCTCGATACGCCAAGCAGTTCTACGTTGGCATCTTTTTTTCTTCATTGTAACGAGATAAAGGGTTAGTTGATTAAAAAATTGTTTCATCATTGTTATATATGTCTTCGTGTATATGTGTGTGTGTGTTTGTGTGTGTGTGTGTGTGTGTGTAGTGTACGTATTTTTCAAATACGAGTAACCGGTGAAAACCTTTGCAGCTCCGCACCGAACCACGTTCAGGATATATTCGCTGAACAGTCTTTTGCTTTTTACTTCAATACACTATGTAATTCTTAGCTAGCGAACAATGATCTCACACAATCGAAAAAATTTCGCACGATCTCCGGTTATATATATGCGAAGACCTGTAACGAATTTATCGATGGATATATAAGTCGCAATGCACGAGAATCTTTCTCTTCGACGAATTAATACGATGAGGGTTCGCGTTGATTTAAGTTGAAAATCGCGTTTTTCGAGCGTGATCTCGGATTCTACTTCTTGTCAATTATGCGCGCTGCGTGATATTGCTCGGGGTTTCATCTCGGAGTAATGGATGGGACGTGATTGCGAATATGATGCAAAGTATCCGCGTAAACGTCTTCGTCGATTCTGGCTGATAGAGGCGCTTCGTGAAAGGAGCAAATGCGAAAGTTTGCCGATCTACTGGACGTTGAAACTTCGCCGAAAGATCTCAAAGGTACACACACACACACTGTTACATCGCCAAGTATAAATTACATGTGACCTCTTAATAGTACTAAAACGTGCCAATTATGAATCTCAAGAAATGTCTTTCAAAAATTTCGTGGAATTGCGGAATCGTCGCTCATACTCGTAGATGTATGAAAGACGATTTAAAGTATTTCAATCATTTCGACATAAGGAAAATTTTGTCAAATTTTATTTCCGAAAAAAAAAACCCTTTAAGGATAGAAATATCAAAAATATTTAAAAAATATGGGGAATTATTATATATATATATATAAAAGTTAAATAAATTATTATATTATATATCAATTTTCTCTCACAGAGATTATTCAAATCAATAATCCGAATCTTCTGAAAAAGTGCACTATAGGAGAAATTAATGAAATAGAATTTGTGTCAATTTAATACTAAGCAATACTTTCAACATTTAACAATAAATTTAACACTAAGAAATTATCTATATATATATATATATATATATATATACATATAAAATTACGAGAGATAATATGTTAAAATCATTGTTACTAATACGTAGAGCTGAGCAAGCGAAATGTGCGGAGAGCGGCGAACGAATCAAGCGTTGAACGATCGGCTACTTTCAAATTCACAAAACTGTCAGCCAACAAACGATATTTTGGAAAAGTGCTGTCGAAAGTGATCCTACCTTAAATGAAAACCAAAGCCGGTTTATGCAATTTTATTCGATCCACTTAATTCTGTTGCGAACCAAACACTCGGCCTATCCATCAATTTATTGACATCGTCGAAGCTCAATAACCGAATTGACTCCTGCCGGATATAGGCCGCAAATTTTTGACGTAAACTAAAATACATCATTTTCGCCGTGAACCGCGTCTGTACGATCGGATCAAAGCGTGTATAATCACAAATCGGGAAACTTCTCGCCGTTTGCCCTCAAGAATTCGACGCTCCCTCTGGGAGCTGGTTCCTTCAAGTGAAACCTGTACGCTAATTACTACTACTGAAACTTCAAGCATGGCCGAGACGTTGAGCTATAGCAAAATTCGTCGTCGAATGCATATCCAACTATTCGAGAATATTGCGCGTAAGCTGGTGCCGGGTAAACCGCTACCTCCGTCAATGTTAACGGAGATTAATACCCAAAACTATGCCCGAAGTTGCCGATATCTCGAAATTTAACGCGCTGATAACCTCGTGCGTTATATTCCTCAAAAAAAAAGCATTAAGGAACATGATACCGTAAGTTCAACATATTTCTTGGCAAGAACGCAATGAAAGTATTAAGATCGAACCAATTTACCCATGTTTTTCATTTTCCAGGTTGTAATTTTCGATATTTTCAAATATCACGACTCGTATCTTTAAATTTTCAATACAATTCAATTTGTGAATCTTGTTCATCGTGATATTGCCATTGAATAAAATGCTCCGTTAAAATCTCTCGGCTAACAATCTCGAATTTTTCATAGAAACGTTCATAGAAACTATCATAGAAACGTTCAGCATCGGGGAAAGATAATGAAAGAGATTCTAGTCTAATAATTGAATTATCATGCAAGGCGCGCGTGCACGAAGTGGACAGTCTTAACTGCCTCCTTCGGCGAACTCCGCGTAATCTTCATGGTCTACCTTGGATAGAACTACGCAGGGAACTGTGTACAAACTACAAACTATCGAGGAACTAATCGCATATCCCTCTGTTCGTTATCGGGTCCAGAACTTTCCTAATCGCGGGACGAATAATAGGTGGAGACTTCTCGCACTTTGCGCCGGTTTCTTCGAGGTAACACAATCCGCTTCCAACTTATGAGGCAAAATATGGAGTGCCATTTCACTACCGAAGCCAGTCGCGTGAAGTTCGAGTCGCCTAATCGAATTAGCGGTCGTTGAATTCTCCAGCGTGTACGATTATCCACAATAATCTACGTGTACAACGTGGCGGAAATTATCACTTGTTTATCACGGTAAATTCCATCGCGGTTCTTACCATCAGTGCGAGAGGAACTAAGGCGAACTATTTAAGCGATTGATAGATTACGCTTCGAAGCTTGTCCCCAGCTTGTAATCAATAATAATATCCTGGGCACAAGATGCCGTTACAACTAGATTAAGTTTGATTGTGCCGCAAGTACATCGACTAGAATATCTTCCGAGATAAATAATCCAATTGCTTCCTCCGTTCAACGGATTTTACGTTTTCAATGGCACAAAAAACGAATCAATATTTTACGTACGAATGAAATATTAAATATCATCAATCTCCCGTAAATTAGGTTATAAATTAATCATTTTACGCAGTTGGATAATTAAATCTGTCGAAACTTTTAAATAATTTATTATTTAAACCTTTTAAACCGCACATACACACTCTCGCGTTATTTAGATTATCCTGTAATATTGCTAAACACGACCTCTCTTCGATTCGCTAGAGCAAAATTTATCGGGAAGCAACCGTCGCGTGATTAACGACGATAAAGCGCGCCGGGAAAGTTCAATACGCGTAAAATTACCGTAAACTACCGTAGGCTATCTATTCTATAAGGCCTAGATTCGCACAAATCTACTTGGGTGTCCCGATAATTAGCCAAGCGGCGTGTCGTCGGAAGGAGGCGTGACTTTATCCCGAGGGGGAGGCAAATCTTCTACAGTTAGACTAGAGATGGACTGTGTTTTCGGTGCGCGATTTTACACGCACTTCAACTGAACCGACCAGCTTCGCTCGAGATCGGAGCTTAAGATTTTCGCGAACGCAGGGCCGACAACGGATTCAGCCGGCGTCTGGGTGTGCTCTCGGTGGACGAGGAAGCGCTTTTAGATTTCGAAGCTTTCGACGCCTTGGGCGTCTTCTCCTTGCCCGTGGCGGCCGCGGAGGTTTTCACCGATTTCCCGGATTTGTTCGCGCCACCTCCCGAGCTCGCGCCCGTGGAGGCTGCGGAGGATGTGGGCTTGTTAGACGCGACGCTTGTGTTCTGGGAAAGGGTTTGGGTGTTGGGTCTTACTTGTACCTCGCAGGGGGGCGGCGCACTCCTGTACGACGGCACGATCTTGAAGGTCACCGATCCTCGTGCCTCCCGCTGTAACAGTCGAAGGTGATCTTCAGAAATTGCGACTGCGACTGAGCAGGTAGGGGATGGATGAGATGTGATGTTAAGGGAAATTAATACCCAAAACTACGCCCGAAGTCGCAGATATCTAAGACACCGATAACCTCGTTCTTTATCTTCCTCGAGAAAAAAGCATTAAAGAGCACGACGATCGATACTGTAAATTCAACACGAATCGTATGCATAAACATGATGAACTTAAGCTTGCGTTCCGAAGACGCAACATTTTAACGTGAGATCTTCTATCGATACACACGGGAAATAAGAAGTAGCTTCCTCGTTAACTGACATGAATCAACACGAAATTCAGTTAATTTAGCTAATTATTTTTGTCCACAGTTTTTAGCTTCCACAGCTGAAAACTAGGTAGTGATAACTAAATTTTAGTTGTATCATTAGACAGTTAATTCTTTTTTTCCTTGCACGATGAAATGCACAAGCCTGTTTTGCGACACCGAGATCGCATCTCAGAACAGCTCTTGTTGATTTTATTAATTTTGATTAATTATTCGCCATATAGATGGAAAAACAGTCTCTTCGAACGAGGCTCGAAAAAGAGGAAACATTTAGCGGAATCATCGCACGACGATAAGAGCGGAAAGGGAGATCTTTAATAGCGCTCGCGTGATCGCGAGGTAGTGCAACAACGATACTCACCAGGATCTTCTGCAAGGCATTAACGGATTGATTCGCGACTGGTATACCGTTGATCTCTCTGATCTCGTCACCAACGTGCAGAGTGGCTTGTCTATGAATCATCCCACCGTGCATAATCCGCGCAACGACGCATTTCCCGTCCTCGTTCATTTTCAGCGTGATTCCCTGAAAAGCGAGCGGGGACGTGGGGTAACGCAAAATGGATTAAGAACGATAAATGTAGCGCGCTGCCGATAATAATGTAGTTACACTTTGCAATACCGTGAGCCGGATACGGTAAACACTAATCTCGGGTTAAGCCGCGTGTACTATAAATGATAATGTAAATTTCAAGTTGAAATTGCCACGCGAGCACAATTGTCCCTCCCGCAGCGTGCGTAGAATTTTCGCGTTTATCGCGTATCGCCGCGCGCGATATCGCCGTGGAAAGCGTTTAGCGCGCTTCATTCATTTAATAAGTTTTCCCGTTCGCCTCTGTTTTCATTCATGATCCAAGAGAACACACGGCTCTTCGAGTCGCGCGCGATATTTCAGCGTCCGGCGTGTTCGATGCGTTTATCTCGTTCCCACTTCCTCGCGGAAGATCTCAAGTAGGCGTGCGCGCCTTTCTCTTTCTATCCCTTGAGGGAAATACACGCGCGCATTTTCACGTCGTCGCGCTGTAAATCGTGTCACGATAAATCGTAACGGAATCTATTGTACCGTGTACCCCGGACGCGCCACGTGTCTCGCGCCCGACGAAGAGGCACGTTTCCGCGAGCGCTTCAAAGGTGTTACTCACCATCGGCTCGTCCGTGTTCTTCTGGAACTGCACCAGCCTCACGCGTGTGACGTTCTCGAGGTCTAAGTCGCCGTTTTGCCCTTCGAGATCGTCGCTGCCGTTCAGATACGGCAGCAGCGGCGGTGGTGTTACTCTGGTGGCTTCCTCACCGTAAACCTCGTGACCGGCGACGTCGTGCGCTTGTAGGAGTGCCTGAAACCGATCGTAAGACGAAATTGCTAATTAAAATCGACATACGTATCGCTAATTAAAATCGCAATACACTGTCTCTGACACAGTTCGTAATATCACAGATGGGAAAATAGGTGTTACGAATAATAAGAATAATACGAATTTCGTTGCGTAATATTGATTTATTGCGCATGTGTACTATGGATAAAGAATCTGCGATAATCAAATATGAAAATAAATGATACAAGTAAATAATGGGATTAATGGTAAAAGAGAATGATAAACATTCCTTTTTACTGATTTATTCGTCATTATTTAATGACGTTTTATTGGAAGTACAAAAGGAGAGAGAAAGAGAAAGAGAGGGAGAATGCGAAGGTAGAATTTACAAGAATAACAAAGTTAACACAGTTACGTATGCACAGTACTGTAATAGTACTGTGTATTAATAGAGATTTAAATTTTGCGTGTGATTAGGTATGGTAATCCTTTAAACATAAGTGAAAGGCAGCGTTGTATGTGGTAAATTCAAAATAGGTACACGGAATGTTCTTGTCCCGCGGCGCGTAGCTTTTTTTCCCCATTTTGTTTTGGTAGCGCTGTATATTTGGACGTAATCGCGTCGCTATGCCTCAGTGAGCGACGAACACACCGCGATGCGTGAGTTCTCGCGCATTCCTCGCTGATTTTTATAATTATTTGGTGCTTTCGTCGGTATCTCGTTCATTGACACGTATTTTCGAATCGTATCTACGCGAGTGTGAATGTCAGTGCCACGAGGGAATACACGAAGCAGTCGGAGCAGGAATAACCTAACTGGAAGTATGAACGAAGAATGTAAGACGTCACGGCTGATACATCGTAAGCTTTCAGGTACGCTAAATCACTTATTATACGCTCGTGAAATTTAGCGCAATTAAAACCCAAATGGAAATTTTTGGTCGGCATTCATAATTCGTTATTTAACAAGCATTTATAACCTCATGGATCTTCGATGGTTAATTTGTATACTTGAATTTAATATACCAGGACTTTTCTTTTTCATTGAACTGGCTGCATTAGCTTATACTGGTTATCTTCTCCTCTTTCTCCCACCAAATCTTAACTGTATATCTATCTTTTCTTATAAATGTACACTAGTTTAGCGAAAAAAAGAATAGACCTATTATTTTATATAACAAACATTGATTACAACAGAATCAGTCCATGAATATGAACTTCTAATTAAAATTAAGTTTCAATGGAAAATTGTTAATAATTTGCAACTATGAATATTGGCTTTAGAATATAAATATAAATCTCTTAAGATTCTTACGTATAATAATGCTTCTTGCACCGCAATTACTATCTTATTTATTCCCAGTAAACACCAATTACAGTAATATAATATGAATGTTATGATTCCACTCAACAATGTAAATACAATATAACGCGTGTGTTATGTAACAGTTGCATTGTTGAACGGGAAATTATAATATTGATGTTACGTTACCGATAGTTGATGTTTACTGACCTTCATGCTTTCTTTTTATATTCCTGTTTAGCCTTGTACTGAATCCAAATTTAAATCTCTATTGTTAAACAGCATTATTGAGCACGTAATTGTTATATTTACAGTTTCTTCTTTATCCTTATCAGCTTTTTAAAGGTTTCATTGAGACTCCGAATACCAAAAAGAAACAAAGAAGTTGTGAGAAAAAGTGTATTGCTTTTTTTATATATATTATTTACCTTTATTAGATATTATTTAATATAGGACAATAGGCTGTATAATGTTATATCTCTAAATTCTTCATTGGTTCTTCAAGTTCGACGGAACTTACAGGATTAATGTAGAAGCAAAATCTCGACTTGGGCAGACAGTTTCGTTTGTGGTGGAGAATCCTCGCAACGTACATATCGAGATTTGAATCACTATTTATTCAGTGTTGCTTGCGGTTTCATTTCTCACAAACGAAATATATTAATTGCGCAAGGAGAGGAGCCATATATCGATCGCTGACTACATTCTCTTTCTAGAACGTGCGGATCTAAATATGAACGTTAAGCTCGTTATCGGCGAAAAACAGACATCATTTGCGTTGATGTTTCGGATAGTTTTAGATAACATACGGCGTCGACGGAAAAGTTATTTCGCGAAAATATCGCGCAGATGCAGCGACGTTATTGCAGCGTGCGATTATTTTTATTCGTCACAGTCGCTCGAAGGTGTTACGCGAAATTACGTGTCTTAAACGCGACGCTCACGTGTGGATAATGATTTTCCGCATGGAAAACGTGTGCCGCGCATAAGTAGCGGTGTGTGTGTACGCGTCTCCGCTAAACTAGAAGAGTGTAAAATATGCATTTTCATTTATATTTAAATCATCGGCTTTCATTAAAATTCAAATGTAAATTCTGATTTTAACGTCGGACACATGGCGGCAAACGTGGTAAACAAATAAACGATCGGGGTTCAACTTTGTAGACATACATATTTATAAACGTACTTATGTACAGCCATCGCATACTCGTCGCAGGGTCGTATCGTGTCTTTGTTACCGACAAATGTGTTGTCCATTACAGTTGTTCGGAGTTACGCGAACGCACGAAATATGACGTCGTTACGAGCGAAACGGTCTGTTTCGCATGCGTTTTGTCAAAAGGTACGCACACTCTTTTATCGTTCGACAACTTTCCGCCGAAATTCCCCATACGCGGAAGTATATCGGAACACATACGTATACGCATTTGACACGCATATGAATATCTTGCCGGGGAAAGGAAAAGCACTCCGCGAAACTTACGATGTTTACCCTGGCTGAACGCGTCTGGTCGCGTGATAAATTTTCGCAAAATTGTGAAAACTAAAAAACGGAAAACGATATTTGAGAATTGACTATTAGAAAACTAATCATCGTCCGAAACGTTCTCGTATGGATTTTTGAATGTCGATTTGCTCGATCAAATATTGCATCTAGAATTTACGATCGGTTTTTCTATTTCTATTTCTATTTCTCTCTCTCTCTCATGAAGCGTGACGAAACGGTTTTCGATTTTTAATATCAGTTCGTTTTACGTTTTCCGCACGATCGACGTGTTAAGTATTAACTTAACTTAATTAAGCAATTTAATTAAATTTACTCCGGCGAAATACACAGGTTATTCATCGCTGTGTGTTAATAAGTATCTCTGGTTATTTCCGATTTTGTTTACTCTATAAATCGGATTTGCCCGCCAAGTCAAATGTTGCGTGTCTGATATTGGAGATAGCCGAACTCCAAATGTTGACTCCGATATGATATTTACCGAAGCTTCATGCGGCAACTCCTCGCGTTACACGCTACCCGAGGGTAGTTTAGTTGAATAGACGCTTTATGGGCAGCGGTAACTGGGTTTGTAGTTCAATAGCGGTATTTGGGTTCTAAACTCCAGTGTTGGCCGATCAAGCTTAAATCTTAATCCGTCGCGGCCTTCAAACCGTGACAGACGAACTCGCGACTTGCTTGCGTCCCGAACTGGATCTTCGCTTTGAAGCTGGCGTGCGGTTTTGACGCGCTAATTACATGTTCGCATAATCCTTTATCGGTCAGTCTCAATTTTGTCGAAACGTAACGTACTTGAACATCGTAGAGAGATGAACTCCGACGATATCCAGCGGAGAAGCGATCTATCGAATGTCAGTCTTCGAGTCGGTTTCACGTCGGTTTGACGATACAACCGTTGCACTTGACTCACATTTTCTAGTTAGCAGCTCACGTGAAATATTTCGAGGACGTGTAAAAAAAAAAATGCACAGTGTCGCCGAGTTCGCTTGAATGCATAAAAAGTAAGAAGGCGCATCGTCGTACGGGCGCTCGTAGACGCGAAGAACCGTCGGAGGGGTCGCGCACGAACACTTGGTCCAAGGACGGCTCTCGCTCACCTGAAACGCGGCCAAATTCGTCACCTGCGACCCGGTTGATAGCCGCGACACGTTTCTATCTCTCCCCCCTCGCTCGCGTCTAATCTATATGCAAATCGCACTGGGGGAAAAAAATAACATATTTCGGATACGCCACGAGTGGGTCGTCGCGCGTCTCTATTGTTGCAGTCGTGGAAAAGGGGAGACCGTGGGGAAATGAACTGAAAGATAGATTACTGACAATGCGAGCACTCGAAAGATCGAGCGGAAAGACCGAAGGAGCGTGAGGAACGCGTTGTCTCGTGCTTTTGTCGAAATTATCTTCGAGCTGATCGCGTCCGCGCGGACAAGAAACTGCGCGCAGGCACCAATTAACCCGAGAGACAATTCGTCACGGATAATTTGTCGCGAGGGAAGGGGGAAAATAGCCACCGGTGGGGCGGGGCGATCGTTGAGACGGGAAATACGAGGAGCCGTATAAATGACCGTAAATAATGAATTAATCTTAATACGATAGCGAGCGCGTTTTTGCCTCTTTATCGCGCCATCTGCTCGGAGAGAGCTGCGCACGCTGTGGTTGCATACCTAATTCAAGAAAAACGGGGGACCGGTTGTCCGGGTTATTTCGGTTGGTTTTCGTTCGCGGCGCCGTTAATCGAATGCCGTTAATTACATTAGCGCCATCGGATATTCATTAATCGAAGACGGAAACCGCCGGGGCAGCGTTATCGTTTCCCTCTCCTTTCTCGCCTCCCCATCTCTCCGCCCTCCCCCTCAAGCCTTTTCTTCTTTTTTTTAAGAAATCTATTGCCGATTGAAAAAAATGTCAGTTGGCCGTAATGAATTGCGCCGTGAACGGCGAGTATCGTTTATCTTCATCGTGCGATCCGTTTCCTCGAGATCCGTCGGCGGTGTACGCGTCGAAGAAACCGTGTATTCATACATCATCCCGCGCTGGAATTGCGCACTTGGAATGTTTTCACTCGGAAAACGTCACATTACCATAATTTTCGAATATCGTAATGCATAATATTGCTACGAACAGTGTCCGTCACACGGGTACATACGCACGGCGCTTTAACGGACACCCGGAGCTGTCTCGCGGGGGTACGGCTGCCGCGATTCCGACATGAGAAAT